TACATGAACTACGTGGTAAGAATCTCTCTCTCCGCTAGAAAGCTAGGTGGTAAGAAGTTAAGAACACATTGACCGCTATAAATATGATTACAACAAATGCCATGAAAGCTTTTGGTCCGAGTAGTCTAGCATCTGATCTTGGTTCCCAATTCCCACAGCTGGGAAGATGAGGAAGCACTGAACTGACACAGAGATAAAGTGGGTGGGGTACGTAACAAATGGGCCCGGGACCCTTCTCCCAGGGACAGTTGGGCTGACAGTTCAGAAACTTTTAAAACCCGAAAATTTACAGTTAGGGAGCTGGACCAGCTGGTGATAGTGGTGGGCCCATGGTGGCCCAACTTTTGCTTTCCCTCTCTTTTACTTGGGATTGTGTTTTCATTATCGCTCTCTGCAGATTGCAGACTAGACTGCGCAGGCACGCTTTAACCCCATGTGGTTAATTGATAAAAACTGTGGTTAGAGGCTTTAGGGGCAGGGCAGCCCCTCACCCTTCTCACTCACCTCACGGCCAACACATGACCAACTTTAAAGCCAAGTTAAAAGAGGAGGAGACACTCACAACCACCTCTGCTACCTAAGCCCAGTCTCTCTATTCGTGGGCCCCCACTCTCCTCGTTTCTTACCCTTCAAGCCAATCTTCACTCTTTCTTTTATCTTTTTCTCTTATTCTAAAAAAAAATTATTTATTTATTCTAATCTCTTAATTACATGGTTTTCCGTAAACTTGTTATTAAACATGTTTTACAATTCGATACGAACATAAGCAGTAGCTACGTATAGATTAGACTAGAGGCACATGCACTTATATTTTAATGTTCGAACAAATCAACTGGTATCCCAGAATTGCATCGGTACAAATATAAAATAGTTAAAATAAAATATAAATGCATCCTCCTCTTTTCACGTTGAGAAACCCTAACAATTGGAATTGTTTATGCAGTCCACTGGGGTTCTCTCCCACTTTAATACTGCACGGGTACAGTTTCCGAGTCAAATGTACACTATATAAGATGTATATAAATAGTAATCAGGTGACCAATACCCTTTGTTCGATCTGTAATGTCAGATTCCGGCAGCTGTATGTCTTACACTGGACGCAGGCTCATGGCTTTTGGTAACCGGAATCCGACAAACATGTCGATAAAATATTACTTCAATTAGCTTAAGGAGGAGCAAGAAGGAGGGTGTCTCCGTCGGGAATCTTTTTAGTTGTTGTTTTGATAAAACAGTAATGCTTAATTTTTAATTAATTAAGGACACCCTAACTAATCAAAGTTCACAGGAATCGTTTCTTTGAAGAAAGGGGAGAGATAAAGAGAGTCAAATCTCCTAAAAGGCTGAAGGCCTGAAGCTACTGGCCCAAGGCCAAATCAATATAAACGGGAAATTAATGATCGTTGGTACATGTCGGTAAGATGCCCAGAAATTCCACCTACCATATATCATTCATTAAAAGAAAATGCTAACGTCAAAGACACTCTTCGGTATCTTTTCTGCGGAGTTTGGGGCCCATCAGAATCAAATGGACTATGGATCGTTGGTTGGCACCTAAAAGAAAGACCCCTGAGATGATCCAAAAGGAATCCTACTTAACAGCCATTTGATGCTAAGTCGCTAACTCTGAATTTCGTGGCCCTGACACACATGGAGGATGGAATGGCATTTTTCCTGGGCCCCACAAGGCCACCAATGTCTGTAGAGAGAAGTTTCAAAAGGTGGCATAAACGGTTGCATTTCATCCCTCGTCGGCTCGTCCGGAGAAGTTAGAAGAAAAAGAAGGAAAGGAAGAAAATAAATTCCTAGCCTCCTAGGTCAAAGGCCAGAGAACGATCTTGATTTTGCTAGACTAATATTAGCCACGTGGCTCACGCCCACATGCTTCAACCAATTTTAGATCTAGTGTCGATAGGTGTGCGTAGGAGTAGGACCGAGGAGAATCCAAGTTGTTACAGATTTTCACAGAAAGGAATGAGAAATATTTGGTTGAATGTCAGTAATGGTTACGTGTCCGTCTGCGAAGAGCACTGAAGGATGTTTGCGTCCTTGATTTGATTTAAGGAGAAAAAAATAAATTGTATTTTTGCAACTCTTCGGTTCTTCGCCTACTGACATGGCGGGACCCACCACACATGTCATTTAATGGGTCCCGCCCTAAGGGATGGTGATGCCGTCAAATTTTGAATAATGGGGCATGTGGTTTTGTAAGGGGAAAGTTGGTAAAATACCCCGAATACTGATTAAAAATTTGCCAGAAGTGCGATACTTGATAGTTCGCAAGTTGTCAATCTAGATCGAGTCAGAGAAAAACTGGTTGAGAATCAAGTGTTTCGTGGTTGACAAGTCACTTTCGAGATGTAAAAGAAATCACGGGGGCATCTGGTGATCTGGCAATGACAGTGACACGTGTAAACTGGTGAGGTGACACTTGAATCCCAGCTTCACTTCCCTATTATTCTTCGAGTTATTAGCGGGTATATTTTTACGCCTAAATCCAAGGGTCGGTGTAGTTATTACAAATAGGGATCTGTAATCCGATGTAATCCCGAGTCAGAATAGACCGTTTGGTTGGATAAAATCAGAATCCTTATCCCATTCTTGAATCCTGATAGAATGGCATTTTTCCATTTGAAGGTTATTTTTTCCTTTGAGAATGATAATCCATTCCAGTTAATTACAATTCCTACTTGAGCCAAATACTCAAACTGGTGAGGGAATTGACCATTCTGATTCTAAAAATTTTCAATTCTTATTTTATGTATGAATCAAACAGACCTTCAATCATCAAATTACTAAAATCTCCCTATATTTCACATGAATCATCAATGTAATCTTTTTTTTTTGTTAATTAGCAATCTTAGAGTTTGTTTGGTTTATATTTGGAATTGGAATCAAAATTTCCTAGAAAGAGAATTGTTTATTCTCCCACTCGTTTTGGTTTATATAGAAATCAAAATTAGATTCCAATAAGATATACACTGACTCCTAAGGAGGATTGGTATGGGATAAAGAAAATTAGGGTTTTAAGGGGAGGGGGCATTAAAGTCACTTGTCATTTTTTCTTGTTTCTTTTTGTTGGCCGGAATTAATGAAGAGATTCTCATTTCCAAGGGGGATGGCGAATGGCATTCCCTTAAATGAGAGAATGCCATTGGACAGGAAGTATAAAGAAACAGCTGGAATCCCATTCCATCTAATCAAATAGCTGGAATCCCATTCCATCTAACCAAATAGCTGGAATTCTGATTCCAAATCCCTATTCCTACCAAATGAATCCTTAGATCTTCTTGTTCTAAAATTAGAAGTATGAAAAAAATTCATTACTTACAAGTTACAACCCAAACCCACCCACCAAAATGTGTTAAAGTTTCAATGTTTTTGTTTTATTATTGTTTAAGCAAGTTTGAAATTGAACATTCTTTATTCAGCAGGTTGTACGCTTGTGGCTGAAGATGAAGTTAGATTGATCGTTATACCTAATGTTCAAAAAACTGATTCGATATGCTCCGTATCGAATGTATTGTATTGTATTGTATTTTTTGGGTCCTGATAGGTCTGTTTATAAGTGTTTCGCGACCTCACTATTTTCTAATGAAAAATATAGATGAAAAACTCTCCAAAAACCAAACTTTGATAAAAAAATAAAAAAATTCATATTTCCACGTGGTTAAAAGTACCAATACGCCTCTCCCTCCATGGCTACACCCCTATGCCATTACATATTTTATCAACTAAAACACAAAACGGCAAGCCATTGAGTTCAGCCACTTCAGCCGAGTAAAAATGTTAAAAAAGTAAATGAGTTTCAAAAACGAGAGAAATCACTTGTTACATCAGACAAACCATGGTAATGGAATCAATGAGGTTTGGAAAACACCACCTGAAAATTCCAAAAAACATTCCAAACCCAATCAAAATCAGCTACTCAGAGGGCAAAAGACTGGTTGCGAGTTGTGAAGGTAAGTTTGGTAGCTGTACTCCCAATCAGAACCTTTACAATGCACAGTCTCTTTCCATACAAAAGAAAGAGGCTTCTCCGAGACAAAAGATGTGGGCACATGCTTTCATGTGTTGACACCACACGTTTGTTCAGTAGATCGACGAGTCTTTGTACGAACAGGAGGGTATCTAATATTCTAAAAACTAATGGAGCTGTGCTGCTGTGCTGCTGCACTGCTGCAATGCTGCGCTGCGCATGATGGGTGATTTGGCTCCTTTGGGCCATTATGTGTCTCACATTGTGGAGCAGCCCATTAGCCAGCTCCCAGGTCCTGACCCCATCCCTCAGGTACTACTTACTACTATCAGAAGACAATCCTCAGATCTTAACCTAAAAATTACTTCTGGCCTGAGAACAAATCTGAGCTAAAACAAAATCAAGAGCAGCAAGTAAAAGAGCAAAAGGAATGAAAAATTAACAAGGCAAATACAAAAAATAAAAATAAAAATCAATATTTACTCAAGCTCAGGCTAGGGGGCCCAATCAGGCCCACCACGTGTCGTGCTCATGCCCACAGCCCACAATAAAAAAAGAATAGTAGATTGGGAGCCAAATGGATCCTCAAGTTTTCATCCGGGTGGAAAATAGATTTGTCATTTTGCATTTTTGGTCAAGTAAAACAGATCCTTTTAAGCCCATAACTAGTTGGGTGAGTGGCACGTGCAACAGAGGGGTCAGGGCTCAGGGGGAAGGTCAAATTTCGTGAAATATTTTAATAGAAATCCAGTGGATCCGCTCCACCTCAACGGTCATGGTGATGGACCGGTGGACCGGTGATACCGGTACCTTTGAGTTTTTGACCAAGAAGGGAATATATTTGACGTGGAGGGGCATTTTTGTCACTAGAAAGTTACGCAATTACGCAAGCAACCAGCTGATATTGTCTAAATAATTAATATGACGCGGAAAATGATTTCCTAATTTGGTTTTATTTTTATATTATTTAGAATAAATAATTAATATTACAGAGTAAGAAGCTTCTCCCTTTCTTTTTCTAATCTCTTAAGCCAACTCCGTCCATCGTATACAAAGAAAGAAACCAGAACACGGTGTATTCTTAGATCTGTTTGACTGCTCTCCTCCTAATTTGGGTTTCATCTGGGCTCGAATAATCGGCTGTTTGGTGAATGACTGAGTTCGACATCTTCACTTGAGGTGTCTGTCCATGTCGATCTGTAGTTACATTGGTCCATTACCGGTTCATTTCATGCTACTGTCCAAACTCTGGACAGTAGTCGATCTCTTTTTCTCCCATTGAGGTGGAAAGCAGAACTTTCCTGCTTCTTTCGAGTTTCGGCTTGTTGTTTTATGCCTGATACGTGGATGAGAAGCTGGACAAAATCAATTTCGGTTTTAAGAAAAGAATGGTGATTTTCCGGTTATGGTATTTGTTGGGGACAATAGTATGGTGAGACCTGAACTGAGACTTTCTGGTTGAGATACCAGGGGTTCTCCTATTTGATAGGGAAATCAGAAATGGCTAACTGAGAACTGAGCGAAGATGTTCAAGTCGGCGAGATGGCGGAGCGACAAGAATAAGATCAAAGCTGTATTCAAATTGCAGTTTCAGGCGACCCAGGTATTACCATTTTGATATACTACCAGTGAAGTCTTACTGTAGTTGCTCTAATCATAAATGGGCTTGATCTTGTTTATTTTAAATTGGTCGTAAACTGCACATGAATTTTATTTATTTAATTTTTCTTCATTTTAATGAATGAGATGGGTGGATTGGAGGAGCTTATGAAGGCAGAAATTGGTAATGACGATAATGTAATGAGATAATTAGAGGGAATTGCGCACCTGATGTGTTTCTGTTTGAATTTCTTTTATTTTTTTACAGGTTCCTCTGGTAGGATGGGAGACTCTGATCGTCTCCCTGGTTCCAGTTGATGTCGGAAAACCGACTGTGAAATTGGAGAAGACTGCAGTTCGGGATGGAACCTGTCGCTGGGAAAATCCAATTTATGAAACAATAAAATTCGTGCGGGAGACGAAAACAGGGAAAATTAATGAGAAAGTTTACCATTGCCTCGTTTCCACTGTATGCTATGTTTCCAATCTCTCTCATTTTCAGCTTTCGTCCTTCCTTTTTCTTCTTACTGTGTTTCTGTTGGTGCATTCTAAGTACATTGGTTATCTCACAGGGATCATCGAAAGCTGGTCTTCTGGGAGAAGTCTCTATCGATTTTGCAAATTATGCAGAGGCAATTAAACCTTTCTCTATCTCTCTACCCCTTAAAAGTTCGAACTCTGGAGCAGTTCTACATGTTAGTATTTTTACTCCCTGGATTTCTAATACCTGCAAATTATAACTTTTCAAAAGAAAGTAAAGTATCCAAGCTGCAAAACAGAAGAAACTGCAATTTTAGATTCAGATGTTTAATTCAGCCACAACTAGCTACAGAGATTCATGATAATTGTGGTTGTGATTATTGAGACAGGTCACAATTCAGAGAATTCAAGGGAATGTCGATCGAAGGTGTACACAAAATACTTGTTTATCTCCTTTTTACTTTCAAATATTTTATGCTTGGACTACAATTTTACCACTGCCTTTTTTTTTTAAATTTATTGAGAGTCTTTGCAGAGAGGTTGGAGAAAATGGAGATGTGACAGTTAAATTCCAAGATAGGAGCTTGAGAAGCCAGATGAGCAATTCAGATATAGACGAAAGTGACAGCAATGATGCTACTGAAGTAAGGTTTCATCTCATTTTCCCCAAGAATATACTTCTTAAAATGTTTCACCTAGAAAAGTTCTAGCTAAACTGGGAATTTCTTGGATTTTATTGATTGTTACTTTAGCGTTTCAAGTTTTTTTGAGTCAAGTAGCCTTGACTAGGAAATTTTGGTTTATGAAAGAAAGTTGTTTCTAATATATCTTCCGGGTTGTTCACAGAATGGGCCATTGAATAAAATCGCATCTCAGAATGCTCAAGCCAAGAGAAATCCCAGATCATCTATTGGCTTTGATGTTATGACAGGGCCAGGTTCAGATAGCAGCTCAGGACGAAACACCCCAAGAGAACTTGGATTGAAAAACAATAATGCCCATCAGAACCCTAGAAGCTACCTATCATCTCTTAGCCACAGTACCATGCCTCAGAAGCCAATGGTTAATGCCACTACAACCAACTACAATGTTCATCAGAGATCAAACACAGAGTGGTCAATGAGTTCAGCTCCAGATGGAAGTTTAGATGGCTCAACAAGCAGTTCTGAGGACACTCTTCTGAAAGAAAGCTTGTCACAGGCATCAGATGTTTCCATTGAAAAGCTCAAAAGCGACCTTTTTGTTTTGACCAGGCAGGCGGAAGTATCAGAGTTGGAACTACAGACTCTCAGAAAGCAGATTGTGAAGGAGAGCAAAAGGGGACAGGAACTCTCGAGAGAAGTTATTGGCCTGAAGGAGGAGAGAGATGCACTTAAAAAAGAATGTGAACAATTAAAGGCATCACAACATATTGAAGATACCAAAACTTCGAATAAGCTGCAGTTTGAGAGCAAGGATCCATGGGCTCTTCTAGAAGAAATCAGACAAGAGCTGAATTATGAAAAAGATATCAATGCTAATCTTCGCTTACAACTACAGAAGACACAAGAATCCAATTCGGAGTTGATTCTTGCTGTGCAGGACCTGGATGAAATGTTGGAGCAGAAAAACAAAGAAATATCCCATCTTTCCTACGAGAATGCTGACAAGGTGCAGGAAGCATTCCCCAAGCATCAAATTGATGAGGAGAAAGAAGAAGAAGCATTGGAACTAATAGCTAACGGACATGATGATGCCAAGGAAACTCACTTGCTTGAGCAAAAGATCATTGACCTGTACAGTGAAATAGAGATGTACAGGAAAGAAAGAGAGGAGCTAGAGATGCAAACGGAACAGCTTGCTTTGGACTATGAGATTTTGAAACAAGAGAACCATGATATGTCTGCAAAACTAGAGCAAAACCAACTGCAAGAACAACTGAAAACACAATATGAGATCTCTGTGTCTCTGGCTTCTATTACTGAACTAGAAAGTCAGGTTGAGAGTTTGGAGAAACAACTCAAGGAGCAGGCACAAGAGTTTTCAACATCACTGACCACAATAAATGAACTTAAAACCCAGGTCAAGCACTTGGAGAAGGAAATTGAGAAGCAGGCGCAAGGATTTGAAGCTGATCTGGAAGTTGTGACACGTGCAAAAGTTGAGCAGGAGCAGAGGGCCATCCGAGCAGAGGAGGCCTTGAGGCAGACAAGATGGAAAAATGCTAACACAGCGGAGCGGCTTCAGGAGGAATTTAAAAAGCTCTCCACACAAATGATGTCAACATTTGACGCAAACGAGAAGCTAGCAATGAAAGCACTGACAGAAGCTAGTGAACTGCGTCTGCAGAAAAGCCATTTGGAGGAAATGCTTGAGAAAGCCAATGAAGAGCTGGTATTGGTTAAAGATCAATATGAAGCAAAACTCTTGAATCTTTCAAACCAGATTGATTCAAAGATAATGGAAGCAAAGAATTTGTTCTCAGAACTTGAAGACAAATCTATGAAACTTGAACATCAAAAGAATTCCGAGGAAGAAAAGGTCGAAGCTTTGAAAAAGGAGATACTAATGCTCAAAGTCCAGGTAGAAGAGCTTACACAAGAGAAAAATAACCTCTCCAAACAGGCAGAACAGAAAGAACAATTGATAGCTGAGATTGAAGAACTGAAGACGTCAGTCAGCAAAATGGAGAAATTGGTAGAAAAGGGAAATATGGAACGAGATGAACTAAAGAGAAGAGTTGCTTCATTGATGGAGGAAGCAGATAATTCGCTGGAGGAATTAAATAGTTTGAGGCATCTGAAGGATGAGAAGGACACATTGATTGGAATTCTGCAATCAGAGGTGGAAACCTCCCAAGCTCAATATAATGACTTGAAGCAATCATTGTTTGAAGATGAGTTGGAGAAGGAGAACCTGAGGAAACAGGTATTTCATCTAAAGGGTGACCTAAAGAAGAAGGAAGACAGCATTACAGTAATGGAGAAAAAACTCAAAGATGGCACTGTACAGGTTACAGGTTTAGAGGGGACAAAACAAACTTTAAGAAATAACAAGTCTGGCCCAGTTTCTCGTGGTTCCAAGGAGGTTGCTAGTTTGCGTGAGAAAATAAAATTGCTCGAGGTGAATACACAACCAGATAAAAATATTTTATTGTGATCTTAAAGGCCATCGTCCAATGCTGGTCCTGGTTATCCAGGTCCACCTAACCCTTCCACATTTTTTGCATGAAGTGGCCACTCTCGGACTTGAACCCTTGATCTTATGTTTGTCAGCCATAATTTTAGCATTGCAGCTAGCAATGACGTTTTTGCTATTATATTTATAAATTTTTAGAAAAGCTTTCTAGTGCTTCTACACAGTCTGAGTTCCTTCATCCTAAATGTCTGCTGTTTTCTCACAAATTTTCACTGAAAAATATATTGCTAAATAGTTCACAGTACTGACAGTGTTAGTGTTTCTTACAGGGTCAAATAAAGCTAAAAGAAGCTGCACTAGAAAGCTCAGCCAATTCATTCTTGCAGAAGGAAAAGGATCTGTGTACCAGGATCGATGAACTAGAAAACCGGGTGGAGGAACTCAATCAGAACAGTACCAGGATTTTTGAAGATCAATTCCAAAAGGTTAGTTATATTTATAAACCATACTTCATATTGAAATGTGCATGCTAACAGGTTGTAGGATATTCACTACTCATTGTTCAATTAAGAAGTCCCTGAGTTCAACCTTTGCCCATTTTAGATAAATGTTATATGCACTTATAAAAAATACACAAGGCATTCGAAGTATGGAGCATTCTTTAAGATGTTTATCTCCTGGTTTGTTTAAGATCAATAGCATAACTTCAAGGACAATCCATTACCTACCATCAATATGGGAAAAAAAGAAAAGGAAAAGCAGTCTGGTAATCATACCTAGATGGGTGCTGATCAAAAAAAACAAATACAATCATACCCAGATGGGCTAGATGGAGAAATGTAGGAATTCCTTGAATACATATACATTTTTGTCAAAATTTCTTGAGTTATTCTTAACTAAACTCAGACCAAATTCTCCTTCAAGTTTTTTAGTCTCAAGGTACCCAGGATCTTGCCCAAGCCTAAAGAATTTACTTTTGCTACAGTCCAGTTATGTAATAATTACTAATTCTTTGAGGAGTCTTTGAAACACAGGAAGCCAAAGGTACTGAGAAAATTAATGGGGATGCTACCAATTTTGAAGAACTAAGAAATGAAGAAAATTTGTTGGATTCTGAGAAGTGCAGTAAAGCATATATATCTGTTCAATGTGACAATGAGAGAGAGCATATCAGAAGGTAAATGTTTGCCCACCACAGTTTGGTTTTATGATTGCTGTACATTTGCATCTATAAAACTGGTATTTGTATGAAATTAATTCAGTCGAGGACATGCTACAACAAAATTAAAGCTCTTGACAACAAAGTTAAGCTTTTATTAAATTCTTTTGACAATTTATTGCCCTTTTCTGCTTTTGTATCTGCAGTAGCAGTGGAACTTTCCTGGAGAAAGAATTGAAAGTCTCTACCTCCCATACCAATGACCAAGAAAACCTTGTAGAACTGTTAAGTGAAATGGCATCACTGAAAGAGAAGAACAAATTTATGGAAGATGAACTTAAAGAAATGCAAGAAAGATACTCGGCCATAAGTCTCAAATTCGCGGAGGTTGAAGGTGAAAGGCAACAGCTTGTAATGACTGTACGCAATCTTAAGAATGCCAGAAAAAATTAATTACCCTTCAATGAGATTCTACAAACTGGATACCATGTATAGGTGAACACCTGGATTTTCCAAGTGGAGATCCATGTTTGATAGTGCCAGTAGAGCATTGTCAAGATACAAAACATGTAAAGCAATAATACATTCTTTATTTTTGTGAACATTGTTCATCTCCCCCTTTTCAAGTAGTCCATAACTATCAACTAGGTCCCAGGATCACTATATGTATTCAAGTGGCAGATCGAGGTTGTGCAATGCTGGTAGAGTTTTTCATGAAAAATGTAAAATGTATTTCATTAATATATTATTCTTTTGTCAGTTGAAGTCATCTTTGACCATAATGAGAATGGTAGACATCCAAAAGTTTCTCTCCGAGTGGGTTATACATGTTTAGAATTATAGGAATATGATGTGCAGCACTTAGCCGGGATTTGAGCTTAGGGATACAGATATACATGCTCCAGTGTTTTAAAAGGTGTTTGCCTAAATTGCCTTGAACCAGAAGCACATGCCTCAAGGCAAGGTGGGAAAATATTTCTTCAAGTATGAAGCACAATTTAGGCCTGGTCGTCATGCCTGCACAGATTTCGAACTTTTCTCCCCTTTTGTGAGGGTGGGCTTTGGTGCAACAGTTGGGTTGCTTCATTGTGACCAGGGTTCAAATCTTGGAAACAGTCTCTGTGTAGGGGGTAAGGTTAGGTACATCTCTCCCTCCACAGACCCTGCATTTGCAGGAGCCTCTGAAACAGGTTTCGGGCTGCCCTTCTCTGTGTGTGAGCGCTGAGTAGTGGATATGACGAATCCGAATCTGCTGATCACAACACATTGCTGGCCACATTCATCCGACTGCGCATAAGGAATATGGGCGATGTAAAGTACAACTGATGTTCCTGATGTCCAGTTTGGTGAACATAGTCAGCATGACAATGCAGCTTTGGCACCCAAAGGGGCAAGGTTCTATATGCTTAGACCTGTAGTTAGCAGGTTAGAAGGGTTAGGGAATACCTAGACTACAATCATTGGTCACGACATAGATTATTAAATCTTGATTTCACTTCTTTCCTTGTAAAGCTTCTAGGCCATTACATTAAGACCTGTTAAAACCTATATATATGTGAAGGAAACGGGTTTTTTTTGTTTCTCATATAATACAACTGGCAATGCTAGCACATCATTTCTTGTACTGTACGCATTCCCTGTTCTTAATGAAAGTATATTTAAAGGCGAAAGTTTGTTTGACCCAAAAAAGCCAAAACCTGCGATTCCCCCGTTGGTCTCTTCAAGTCTTTATGGCAGTGGAAATAAAGCAAATGGATCGAATGCAGAAATATTAGCCAATCTCTGGTCTTCCCAATTTTGTCGTTTTAGATATTTTGTGATACCTCGTTAGGGGTGGCCACGAGCCAAGTTTTTCACGAACTATTCGAGTTGAATTCAGTTTCAACCAATCTTCGAATCAAGTTCGAGCCTAATAGAGTTTGTCTTGTGAGGCTCGCGAGCTAAGCTCGAATATATATATAAAATAAAATTATAGAAAATAATATATATAATAAAAATATTATAATTTTTAATTTTTTAAATATGAAATAAAAAATATTTTTATATATAATTTTTTATTTTTATAAAACAATTTTTCTCAAATCGAGTTTGAGCCGAGACGAGCCCGAGCTTACGAGTTTTTGACTCAACTGAGCTTGAGCTCAAGATTCTAGCTTGAATCGAGCTCGAGCTCGAGCTCAAGCCTTGTACAACCTTAGCGAGCCGAGCTCGGGCCTCGTACTATTCAGCTCGGCTCGGCTCGAATCCACCCCTATGCCTCATTCTCTCTCTCTCTCTCTCATTAAGCAAAATCTCTACCTATTCCATCCCATTTAGTGTTTTCAGCTAGTCATTGACCTGGTTAGTTGAATCATTCAAATCATTACCCGACCTTGATTCTAGGTCTAGTTCTCCTAAAACCTGGCATTTAACCAAAAAAAAAAAAGAAATTAACTTGGTCAAAAACTGTATCACCTGTTAAGCAGTTCAACCGTTGATCTATTTGACCCAATCACCGGGTCATGAATTGCATACTCAATGTATGTTCAAACTTTTAGGGGGTGTTCTACAATATGAATGTTTTTATTTTTGAAATTGCCACATCAACAAAACAAAAACATGTTCTTGAACTCTGTTTTTGTTTTCAAAGGAAAAAACAAGTTGGTTTTGTTTGAAAAAACAATACATGTTTTTGGAACCAATAAAATATTGGTTTTTAAAACGAAAGAAAAAATTCTAACATAGAAATTATATGATTTATGCAACATGATGTTGAATATCAGATAAAAACATGTTTTTGGTTTTAGTTCTAAAATAGAAAAACATATATACAACAAAGAACATGTTTCTTGTATTTTTGTTTTAAGAAACAATATGTTTTCAAACAATATTGTTTTGATTTATTTTTGGAACTAGCAACAAGAAAAACAATTCACATTGTAGAATGCCCCCCTAGAGGCCATAAATTTTCCCTCAGTTGTTCGATTGAGGTGATTTTATTTTGATTTTGGGTAACTTTCCAAGATCTATCCTAAGGCACCTTGCCCCACTAATTTCACTAAAAGAAAACTCTTTTTGGCCCCAAATTGCAATTTTTAGCATTTTTTACAAATAAAAAAATTAAATACTGAATTAAAAATATAAATTAAACACAAAATAATACTTATATATACATATATTTATATGTAAAAATAATTATACATTATTTTGTACATGTTTAACACACACACAACATTAATCTAATAACTCTTGCATAAACAAAGCTACTCTTAAAGTTGTAGATAACAAAATTGACACCCACTCTAATACATTACAAGAAAAACCGGCTAAGCCGGCGCTAGATGAACCGCTGACTTAGCCTTTTAAACCGTCGACATAGACATGAACTCAATCCGACGGTGTTTAGAGAACCATCGGCCTATATAATGTACCATGGCGGACCAAACTGCCGAGACAAGGTATGTTATATGACAGCCTGATTGCCAACCTAGTTATTGAGTTGGTAGTCAAAACCACTAGCTTAGATCCATTTGTCATTTGCCAACCAAATCCGACAGTTTTAACCGTCAGCTTAGACTAAACTATCATCTAATAAACTGCCACGATAAATGTCTTATTTACCCAAAGGTGGCGGTTTGGACTGTCGGCTTAGACATAGTATTAACCGCTGGCTTAGGTATAATGATTTGCCAAAGGTGGTGGTTTCTATGACCGTCGGCGTAGATTTTTTAATTTTTTAAAATAATAATATTAGTTGACACATGTTTAAACCTAAAGCATAAAATTATGAAATCAATTGCATGATGGCATATTGAGTTTTTTTAATAAAAAAAGCATTTCATTAATTATAAAATTGAAACCTGAAACAAGAATCCAATACAATCAATTATAATAATTTGATTTGCACTTCTAATCAAGTTCTAGTAAGCTGATCTGCATTACTAGTTTTTCAAGTGATCAATGCTTCATAAACTTCTAGATAACATCAAAATGGCCAGGAGAGGTTTTCCTATTGCATCTTGGATCCATTACGATGACAAGATCCTTTATGACGCAGCGTGGAAGCAATGAGAACCGGATCTGGCTATGCAAGCACCGGGCGTTCGCTAGTACCTAGCGAAAACACCGATTTTTCTAGGAGAGAGAAAAGGTGGTGAAAATAAGAAGAAGAGAACTTGAAGAAGTTCTGAAAATCTCAAGTATGAATTCATGAATAACTTTGGGAAAATAGCAATATTTATAATACATTTGGAAATTCTAAAAAAACTAGGAAAGAACATGAATCTTGATCTTGATCTTGATCCTCTTGGGCTGTCTTGATAAGGTCGAACCCTCTTGGAATTCTTGGGCTTGATCTTCCACCGTCCGATCTCCCTAGCTCTC